ATAAACAATGGAGGCTGAGAATTTTTTTTGTTTTTGACAAGTGTAAATAAACACCTAACTTGTGTTTATTAAGAACATGTTTATGGTTTGGGTTGCTGCAGGCGAATTGTGCCGATAATGCAGCATCCATTTTGTAAATATTCTCATTTACATTCAATAACTGCATACTAATTTATATTGTGGCCCACTACTACAATACTAAGGTGTAAGTATTTGCCACTGTTTGCATCTACAGTACTGCAACAAAATACACTGTTAGACACAAAGGTTCTTTATTAGCATCAGTAGTTTAATGAAGTGCCTTTAACAAACATGATGCCTCTTCATTCTTTATAATCAAAAACAGATGGAAAACCATAGGAATATAGTTTTTTGGAAGAACTAAAAAGCTCTTTGCCGAACCAAAAAAGGTTTCTGTATGGCATCACTGAACAAACATCTTTATGGTTCACCTGGCACCTTTATTTTTAAGAGTGAACTACTGTTTTACGTAACAATTATTAACCCCAAAAATACTATTTATTTCTCTTGCCAGCACCTTTTCCTCCACTTTAAGAACTATGGACAACTATATAAAATTGTTTAGGAGTCATTTTGATTTAGGTGTTTAAAGTACAAGCATAAGAGTCTGTTAACTTATTTAGGTGTTTAAAGCACAGACATATTTTAATATTGAGGGTCCAAAGTTGTTAAAACAATTAATTGAATTCAATTCATGTTTATTTCTATAGCGCTTTTACCATGTAGATTGTGTCAAAGCAGCTTAACATAGAAGTTCTAGTAAATTTAAACTGTGTCAGTTCAGTTTTCAGAGTTTAGTTCAGTTCAGTGTAGTGTAATTTTCACTGCTGAAAGTGCAAACACTGAAGAGCAAATCCATCGATGCACAGCTTTAAGCACATTTAAATGTAAATAATTAAATAAATTAATTAAATGAAATGAAATGTATCTGTCATATTAAACAGTTTTTATACTTGACTGAATGCTTGTGTAAAAATGATGCATTTTTCTATGAAATAAAGTTCATAAACAGTTTTGACATTCAACAACACTGGACTTTTTTTTTAACCAAGACTTATTTTTCTATCGACTTTATTCTTCTTAAATCTTTTAAATATTGCTTCTTTGATCTCTTTTGTCCTAAAGCAATATATAAAAGGATTAATAACAGCAGGAATAAGACTGTACATCATTGAAACCACCATGCGAGTATCATTGCTTAATTCATAACCAGAAATGTTTGTTATATACACAAACGTTCTGGGTAGATAATACAGACATATAATTAGTAACTGGGGTGTGCATGTGGAGAATGTTTTATATCGACCTTCAGACTTGGAGATTTTTGAGACAGAGATGATAATAGAGACATAAGAGAATAAGATGAAACTTAAAGGACCCCACAGAACAAACATGGCGATGGCTGTACTTGTGACTTTCATGGTAGCAGCATCTCCACATGCCAGTTTGCTTATAGAGACATGATCACAGTAGCAGTGAGGAATGACATTTGACCCACAATATTTGACACTGAGGGACAAGAGGGTGACTCCTACTAACTGCAGCATGTTTGCTGTCCAAACAAATGCACATATGATAAGAATAGTAGAATTTTTAATCAGGGTGTGATATCTGAGGGGGTTGCATATAGCTATGAATCGATCAAGAGCCATCAGCGCCATGAGAAATGAATTTGTAGCCCCTAAAAAATGGATAAAAAACATCTGCGTGAAGCAGCCACTGAATGATATGATTTTGTCAGACATCCAGTATTTAGCAATGACTCTTGGGTAGGTTGTTGTTCCAAGTGCAAGATCTGCCATGGCGAGGTTACAGAAGATTATGTAGGTCGGTTTCTGAATGCTTTTCTCAATCATCACAAAGACAATGATGAAAATATTCCCAGTTGCAAGAACAAGATATAAGATGAAAAGCAATGCTCCGACAGAGCCGTGATACTCAGGAGGGAGGCCTGGAAAACCTCGCAGAACAAACTCAGTGATGATTGTTGTATTTTGGTAGGTTTCGACATTGCTCCTTGACCCCATCTGTTAACCAAGAGCCAAATAACAAAACGTCATGTAGATACACACAGATTCTTACATGAATACAACCAAGTAGAACAAAATAGACAGTGTACATTTGTAAAACATTACTGTACTTTTAGCATACACATAATTCATTTAGCAGAATATTGTTGAATTCTGCAAAGCGTTCCAATGATCAAATCATTGAGATTAACCCAAACAGGCATGCAATCTTTTTCATACAATAGGTTAACACACAGCCTACCTCTGGCAGGATGCCCTCTGACAGATTTTGGGTTCAAGTTTGGCCAGGCTTTTAAATGCTCACACTGGAGGAACATTTTGACGTAATATAATTATCTAATCTCTCATAAGTATTGAAAACCCTCTGAGAGACCTGTTCAATATAGCAAATGTGCTGTGTTACAAAAAAACAAAATAAGCAGCGTGGGTTTTGTTGCATTTGAATATATTTTTACAATGTAATTATATGTTTATTTACCAGTGTTTGTTAATATATTTAGGGGACAAGCACCCAGTTCACAGCCAAATGCATAGGCACATTCTATAGTATATCAATTATTCTTGCTGTTGTTCTTCCAGTGTTAAGAAATTGTGACAGCTGGTGCAAAATTTTGAATTCTCTTACTCAGTCCTTCTCAACACTTTTAAAAATGTTCAGAAAAAAGATGCATTTCAGTGGCGTAGAATTGGCATGGGCCAAGATATTGTCCCCTGCCAATATCCAGCAATTACTGAAATGTCCCTACAAATAATTTAATCGACTTCAAAATAAAGTAGCGCTTCATCAACTCTTAACCTACACGTGCACCAAGTCAAGTTCGCTATGAGTTCACCACAATAACGCTGTGCAAGGGATCAAAATTCAAATTTAATTTTGGCCTTCATGATTATGAAAAACAAAAAGGGGGATAAAATAGTTCAATTGCATTACAGACCACTCTAAATGTCTCTAGATTCATTCTTCCTCAAAGCCCGCAGTAAAATCATGTAAATTGACTTTTGCAGCATAGGGTGTGGTTGTTGTTTGTATTATTAAGTGTTTATTTTATATTATTATGTACTTTATTCATGTTTTTAAAAGTGTGAAACAGAATTTGTTCTGTTCAATGCATATGTTCTAGGGATGTATGTCCCCACCACCATGTCTAGAGTGAATCTACACCCTTGGTACATTTGCAGAAATCACATAGAATAACATTATCTAGTTCCTTTTGTGAACCTATTAGTGAATATTAAATTAAAGAACCATTTTTTTCTTATTGTGAAAAACATCTAAAGATCCTCTGTCAACCATAAAGTGGAATAAAAGTATAATTTTTTAAAGGTTCTTTGTGTAATATCAGTGCAATTAACGTATCTTTATTTTTAGGAGTATAGCATCAGTTTTGTGCCATCAACTGTCCAAAGTTTCACTCATGAACCAATATGGATGGAAACAATTTTTCCTCTCTGATTGAGTGAACAAAGCACTCATGATATTTTCTGTCATGATTTTATTTTATTTATTTTTTTGCCATTGTTTATCTTTGTTGAAAAAATTGACAAACTAACGTCAAGTTGATGAGTTAAACTGTTCTCAAATAGAATGTAAATGAGCTTGCCAAAGTTAAAGTCAAATGTCCCCAAAGCATTTTCAGACCAAATTTATAGTGTTTCAACAACCATGACCTGAGTTAACCTGTTTGGACACAGAGGCCACAAGTGGTCAATTATACTTTAAAAAACTTTTTTTTTCATTGCTAAAAACTCAGGTGTTCCAGCTCTTCTTCCCATAACTCTTTAGATTCAAAACGACATACTGTACAGAGTTAAATGGCATAATTATTTCACATATTGGTAATTTTGTTCATTGACCTCTTTGAATTGGCATGTGTCTAAGCCACCATGCCAAAAAGGTTTTGGTACAGTTTGTAGTCTTTTTGTGGTCCAAAAATCTAATAATATAATAACATTTTATTAATAACATTTTTATTATAATAGCATTTTATAACATTAATAACTAATAAAAATTTTCATGTAGTCATGAGAATAGTCTAATAATCTTTTGCTATGTCTTTCTGCAAAGCTTTGACTGTCTGAGATAAAGACTATGGCATTGTCACTGGTAATTTTGTGACCTACTGTATTGGTCAAAAGTAATAAACCACTACGTTGTATTACTGTAGGTTTAAATAATCATTTCCCTCAGTCACTTTACCATAACAAATTTTTCCAAGATAAAGTTCAAATGATTTGAAAATGATTTGCTGTTTAAATGTTTTTGTTCTCTCACTGTCTGCCAGGAAAAGAGTTTTAGATCTGTTTTTTTCTGCTTAGCTTCTTTGCACTTTTCTGAGCTGTTTGGATCAGAGTAACGGCAAATTTGTCATTAGTCAAATCAGTGGTGTCAAACTCAATTCCTCAAGGGCTACTGCCCTGCACATTTTAGTTCCAACCTTGCCTCGACACACTTACAGTATCTTTAGGTTTCAAACAATCCTAAAGGACTTAATTAGTTTGATCAAGTCTGTTTAATAAGGGTTAGACCTAAACTGTGCAGGGCTGCGGCTCTCCAGAAACTGAGGTTGACACCTGTGAATTAAATTAGCAATAGTCAGTCAATTATCCTTCATTTAAGTTTCCACATTTTCACCTTAGCAGTATAGTAATGGCTAATAATGGCTTGACTACATTTAAAAAAAAAAAAACAATTTTGTTGTTATTTTATTGAATGCTCAGCTATTTATAATTAACCAATTATATTTATTCAGGATGTAGATAAACTATTATCACTCTGAAAGGTTCTATATGATAATGTTAACAAGGGAACACTGCAACAAATCAGTAGTACAGTATACTGTATATATATAGTATTGCATTTTTAAGCAGCTTTATAATGCATGATCAGCTCTTACCTCGTTTAGTGGTAAGTACTCATTAAAACACATAAAATAAGTTATAAATAAAATATAAGTTAGCATGTTTTATTAAATAAATAATTTCACAAAAACATGTCATTCATTCTGAAAGGGTATAAGCACAGCCAGAATGACACTGATCAACATATATAAGTGCTTAGACAGTGCAAAGTGTAATTAAAGTAGCGATTTTCTTCATATCTGCACGTTCACTTTCCTGTCTTTAAGTTTTTTCTTTATTGCATCTTTGATCTCTTTGGTTCTGAAGCAGTAAATCATTGGATTGACAATAGGTGGAATCAAAGTGTACCACATAATTAACATAACCCGAATGCCTGGTGAGATTGCAATTGTCACATCGTGCACATAAACAACACATCTGGGAACATAATACAGACAGATGATCAGAAGCTGAGGAGTGCAAGTTGAGAAGGTTTTAAATCGGGCCTGGGTGTCAGATATTCTGAAGACAGAAATGATGATGGCAGTAAAAGAAAAGATAATAAATATCAAAGGGCCCAACAGAACAAACATAGCAAATGAAAACGAATAAAACTTTTTCTGCCCTATATCTCCACAAGAGAGTTTAATAATTGAATTGTGGTCACAGTAGTTTTGGGTTATTATGTTGGAACCGCAATAGGGCTCATCGAAGGTGTTGTAAACCATAAATGTCAGCCACGAGATACACAACATCCAAATCAGTGCACATGCCAACAGAATTGTTTTGTTTGTTATAAGCACGCAGTATCTCAGTGGATTACACACTGCAACAAACCGATCAACTGCCATTAATAGCATTAAGAAAGAGTTAATGCTCCCTAAGTAGTGAACAAAAAACATTTGCACAAAGCAGCTCAAAAAAGTTATCTCACTACTATCGAAAAAGTATTTTGCAATGGCTTTAGGCAGTGTGACAGTTCCAATAGCAATATCACACACAGCAAGATTGCAGAAGATTAAATAGGTGGGTTTCTGAAGGCTTTTCTCATATGCAATAAATGCAATTATAAAGATATTTCCTCCCGCCAGCGTCAAGTAGACAAAGAACAATAGGAATCCCACAGCTCCATAATACTCTGGATGGAGTCCTGGAAATCCCAACAGGTAGAATTCGGTGATATTAGTGTAGTAGGCCGTCATCACTGAAGAACTACCTAATTTAAACACACTGGCATATAAAAATGCAATAGAAGCGTTGACATTTACACAAGCATTTGACTTCAAGGTAAAACAATACATATAATATTAGCATTTAGTATGAAACAGTTTCTTAAATTCTTTACAGATTATATTGATAGTCTGTTATTTACCTCAGATACAATCTATTCAGATTTGAAGAACATATTGTACCAATTTAAACTAGCATTATTGTGAGTTTGGTGGATGCTGACTGGAGAACATTTAGAATCACTGACTAGCCTGTCCTTTCTGACAGTGCAATATCATAGACACTATTTATAGTATCACTCCAGGAGTAGAAACACCTCCCCCAGAATGACACATTGTTTGGACTTGTCTCATTACCACCAGATGATTATTTTTACTTGTTTAATAGGTTTTTTTACACTGACACTTGAAAACAAAATATTTTGTAAAAATGAAATATGTTGTTATTGATATACTTCTGCACTAAATTTAAATTTCACACATTATTTAACCTTTGTGCTAGCAAACTTTCACTTAAGTTTTAAACCCCATAAATCTTTTGGATGAAAAACATTCTGTGGCGATAGGTTTATACATACACACACTGCAAAATACTGCACTCTTTAAAATGCTGACCTAATACATTTCTACCTGATCTATAAATTTATTTTAAAATTTATTGTAACCCAGCAGTTGGATTTTTCCCCATTTTACCTGTTTTTGTACAGTTTAATATATGGTGATTTTTTTTTAAATTAATGTATAAATATGTATATTTTAATTTATGTTTCATATATTTGAACATCAAATATATTTGGACTCAAAATGCTCAGACCATAATTATTTTTGTTTTACCTTAAATAAACATTTACCTAAAAATGAATACAGTATTTGTACCTTTAAATGCATTGTAGTCAAGCTAATGCGCAAATATGCTCACTGGCCACTTTATTAGGTACACCTTACTAGTACCATTCTTTGCCTTCAGAACTGCCTTAATTCTTTTTGGCATAGAGTCAACAAGGTACTGGAAATATTCTCAGAGATTTTGGTCAATATTGACATGATAGCATCACGCAGTGTCTGCAGATTAGTTGGCTGCACATCCATGATGCAAATCCCATTCCACCACATCTCAGAGGTACTCTATTGGATTGAGCTTCAGAGATACTCTTCTGCATATCTCGGTTGTAACGAATGATCATTTGAGTTACTGTTGCCTTTCTATCTGCTCAAACCAGTCTGGCCATTCTCCTCTGATCTCAGGCATTGGACATTTTCTCTTTTTTGGACCATTCTCAGTAAACCCTAGAGATGGTTGTGCGTGAAAATCCCAGTAGATCAGCAGTCTCTAAAATACTCACCAACAACCATTCCATGTTCAAAATCACTTAAATCACATTTCTTCTCTAATGTGATGCTAGGTTTAAACTGCAGCGTCTTGACCATGTCTACATGCCTAAATGCTTTGAGTTGCTGCCATGTGATTGGGCTGATTAGAAATTCAGAAATAATCAGATGGATTAGGTGTACCTAATAAAGTGGCCGTTGCGTGTATATACTGTTGCTAAACGGGATCCATTTTGTGCTTTTTTTTTTTTTAAATAAGATTTAATTTTAGCTATTCTCAGTGTTCCCAGAATGTGTCTGTGAATTTAAAGTCAATACCTTACATATTTTAACATGACGTGGACACAAATGTGTAGAAGACTTGTGCATGCATGCGCCTTTAAATGTAAAAGCTTTTTCGCGCTTTCTAGATGGAGGCGGGGCCTTGATAATTAACTCTGTTATGATGAAGACAAAACGTGTTTGGTTTTATCGTGTCTACAATATTGACTCTCACATGACTGTAAAGTTCCTCGTCAATACGACAGTTTATCTGCATTCTTTTAAAGCCCATGAGACCAGCTCATTGTATTTTTTTCTGTTGCACTCAAAACCAACCAACCAAACAAACAACCAGACCCTTGAAACAGCCGGCTGTCAGACAGCATCATGTCATGTGAGTATACGTTAAGTATTAAACATTTGCGTCTTTACCATCTTTGTGCCAAAATACATACAAGGTTACTTTACAAATATCCAAAACAGTTAGCTACGTGTGTCTGTGAACCTAAACACATGGGTTCAGATCTTTTCATTAAGTTATACATTATTTTTACGGTATTTAAAGGAATAACAAAGAGAATTTAAAATATGCACACCATATCAATGTTTTCCTCTTAATAACAAGTTTAATGCTTTTAATATAGCCTAACAAGTACTGTATCTCTTGAATAGCAAGTAGCATGCAATGCCTACTAAACGTACATTTCTCCCATAGACGGAAACTAAAAGCAGCTCATTAAATAAATAAATAACAGTACTTTGAAGTGTCTACAGTATTGACATTGTTTACACTACATATGGTTTACAATACATATTGTTTAATTAAAATAATATGTTGTATTATTGAATACAGACACATTCTACAACAGTGAAAATGTATGTTAGATATGTGTATCAATTACAGGAGTGTAATGTACAGTATTACTGCTGAATCAAACTACAGAAAAAATATAACCACTCACTGTTCTTGACAGAACACTGTTGATTACTAAGTAACTTTTAGTCATCTAAGATATTAGGGCAGATCATCACATGGATAGTATAGTCATGGATAGGGCTTGTGACATCACAGAAATCTGAAACAGTGTTTAACGCCTCTTCAGGCTTTTAGAGTAATTCACTTTTGGAATTTGAAGCCTCTAGAGCAGGGGTTAATAGGCAACAAAGTATAATTGTGTAACAACAACTTTCACTCTGAGGATGTTTGATATATTTTAAAAATTTATATGCATGTCACTTTAAAATATGTTTTCATATAAAATGAAAAAAAAAAACACTTTAGAAAAGATCCACATTTCTAACTTTCATTCATATGGATAACATGGATGATTTGACATGGTTTAATGTAAGATTTTTAATGAAATTGTATAATAATAATATAATAATAATAATAAATAATATATCTCTTTCATCAGTAGATGGCTGCAGATCTCTTCTATTTCCTATGTGTTCTTAAAAAATTCACTTTATAAAAGATCCACATTTCTAACTTTGATTCATGGGGAAAACATGGATGATTTTATATGATTTAATGTAAGAATTTTGCCCAGCTTTTTTAGCAGTAGATGGCAGCAAAAATAAAACTATACTTTAAAAATAAAACTATATAATTTTTTTGACTAATTGAAGATGTCTCTTTGCATGCTTTTTCCCAGTTGCATCTAAATCTACATGTTATGAAATCACAATTATAATGATACAAATTATTTTTTGTCTCCTAAAGTTTCCCCATGTTGTTGTAAAAGAATGAACTGTGTGCTGTTCAAATGTGTCACATTTATACCTGAGCTGTTCTGAGCTGTTTGTCCTAAACAAAAGTGTAAAATCTTTTTTTTTCCTTTGTTGGAAGTTTCACTTAATTTTTTTTTATTGTTTTTGATTTTTATTTGTATTTTTTTTTTTCCATTTTCTAAGTGGGGTCTCCAGAGACCACAAGATTAAAGGTTCTATTTTAGCAATATAGGCGCAAAGTCTAAAGCGCATTGCGCTAAAGCACTAAGGGTGTGTTTGAATCCACTTTTGCTCTTTTAATAATGAAAAAATACTCTCCGCACCCTGGCACATGGTCTAACATGGTTGTGCTTATTCTCTTAATGAGTTATGGGTGTGTTTTGAGCATTCCCTTTAAGAGTCATACACTGTAAAAACTAATCTATAGAATTTACCCAATAAATCTGAGGTAACAATTTGCATCGACTTTGGCTGGGTATATTTAATGCCATATATTGAGTATAAACTATTGACTTTGGCTGGGTATATTTAATCCCATACATTGAGTATAAACTATCGTCTTTGGCTGGGTAGATTTAATCCCATATATTGAGTATAAACTATCTGAAGTAAAAAGCTATTAAATACTACAAAAATTGGGTAAAAAATACCTCACATTTATGTATATATTCAACACCTACTTATTAGGTAAAAACTATCTCTTTAAATCGAAGTTTATTAATATCAGTTACCTAATAACAATTACTTATTCAGAGAAGGTAAAATCTACCTCTACAATAAAGACATTTAAATTGGTTATCAACTCAATGTTTTTATTCCAAAAAATCAGAAAACGCACTTAAAATAAAGTGCAGCACAACAGCATTAACATTTCAAGTAATGAACATGTTTTATAACTCGCTGATCTATCAAATATTTCAATAATGTTGGATAATAAAACATTTCCCTGTTTTAGGACATCCAGATCAGAGCAGAAAAGAAGTAAGCAAAGAAAAGGAAAAAAAAGGAGAAAAAAAGGAGAAGTGAGGAGATTAGAGCAGAGCTGGATGTCCAATCACATCAAGATTTTCTTTTATCTAAACTCTTAGACTAAACTTGTGTCTTTTCAGATTTACACAACAGTAACTGACCAGTGGTCTGTTATCCATATACATTCATAAAACAAAATAACTGAACAGTCTTGCTTATATGCAGCACTGATGCACCAAATTATCATAACACACAGAATAAAGTGCTAAATAAAGTACAACAGCTTCACACAACAATGAACAAATAAACCTGTGTTATAACTCATTAAGACAACAGTTTCAAATGTTGTTTCAATAATGTTGGATAATAAAACACATCCAGATCAGAGAAGAAAAGAAAAGTGAGGAGAGAGGGGAGCAAAAAAAGGAAAATAAAAAAGAAGTGAGGAAATCAGAGCAGTGCTGAACGATCAATCACATCAAGATTTTCTTGTATCTAAAAACACAGAATAAAGTGCTAAATAAAGTGCAACAGCTTCACACAATAATGAACAAATAAACCTGTTTTATAGCTCACTAAGATAATTTTCAAATGTTGTTTCTGAATAATTGGCTACTCGCATACAACTCTTTCAGAGGCCACTTATTATATTTTAAAAGGCGAAACCACACACACAACCTCGTGTTTCTGTGCATGTACAATATTAAATATAAAAAAAGATAAAAGAAAAACAAAATACCATCATTTTTTTTTTGTCCTTACTCTCACTCTCGCAGATAGGATCAGAATGAAATAAGCAAACAAATGGGGAAGAGGGTAGGTGAGATCAAAATTGTTCAGGCCACTATCTATTAGTATTCCTTTTCTGTCAATATGGGGGAAAACACAGAGCAATGGAGAGGGCTGAGAAACAGTGGATGGGTCTGTGTCTGTATGTGGAGCAAATGAGGGAAGAGAAGAAAAATATAAAAACGGTCCATTACAACTCCATCAAGGTATGTCCAAACAAAGAATCCCCTTTAAACAAGGAGAGAAATGTCTACTGCATAAGCTTATTTTTGAGGCTGTGGACTTTCTTCAGAAGTTTTGCCCCATCAATTTCCAAAAAAAGTTTTTGAAAAGCTTCAAATGTGTTCTTCAGCTCCTTTGGATATTCAATGTTGATTGCATATATGAGTCCCATCAGCAGTATGCATGCCTTTGTTCGGCTTCCACATCCTTCCATCACTTGGTTTCCCTCGATCACAATAGACAAATCGTCCTCCTCAGCCATGACATTGTGCTTCACAATCACCTTCATTGTTTTGTCTGTGTACTCCTCACATTCCTAAGTGTTAAAAAGAAACAAACAAAAAGCACACACAATTTTATTTCAAGATGCTGTTTCAATATATTTCAGTTTATCTAAAGGAGAGCAGAAGGGAGTAGAAGACAAAAGGAAAAGGGAGATATGAGAGGAGGATCCCTTGAGTTAATCAAGAATATGTTATCAATATGACATACCTGCCATTCATGGAAAAGATCTTCTTGTCTTTCACCGAGGTAGTTAATGAGGCAGCAGACAACAGCATCTCTTTTTTCCTCAATGTTCTGTGTCTGTAGGGAGATACAATTTAGCAGAGTGGGGGGTTATTTGCATGTACTAAGACTGAATTCCGGCCCTGCAATAGACTGGCGACCTGTCCAGGGAGAACCCTGCCCCTTCGCCTGATAAATGCTGGGTTAGCTTAAGCTTCTCTTGACCCGGATAAAGCAGCAAAGAAAATAGATGGATAAGACTGAATTCACACACTGATGTTAAAAGTTAGTTTAAGTTGGTAAGGAGCTCAACTTAACACAACAAAGCAATTGTTTACAAATAATTTAACTTTTAATTCCCTCATATTAATAATTATATATCTGTGAAAAAATAAAATAACATACATTTAAACTGTCCAGCAGAGGACGCATCTTGCAACCAGCTGCTCCTCCTTTGGCACGCATTAGCCGCAAAAGACCAGGTGTGTACTCATCAAGCTTCCGCAGGAATGTCTCCTCCAAGGAAACCGTTGTGATGCGTCTGAACTCCTCCTTGATCTAGGAAGTAAAAAGAACAAAAATTATATGTTAAATGACAGACCAGATCTCATAGTAATCACATGAAAGTATCTTAGTGGGGAAAAAAAAAAGAAAAATTCTCACCTGAGCCTCAGTGAATAATGCTGGCCACCTTTCTTTAAACACATCAACAGAGGGGCTGAGGCTGACCACTTCAATTCTTCGGCTAGAGAAGGTTTTATTCATTTTATCTGCAATTATCTTTGCATTGTTTTTCTTTGTAATTTCACAAATTAATTCAAGTCTCTCTTTCTCCAGTGTCTCTTGGCTTTCACCAGTAGGGTGTGGAGGGAGGTAATTAACCTCTGCTTTTTTGGCCTTTTTTATATTTTTTAAAGGCCCTACATCAGCGGGATGCTTCCTTTTTAAGGTGTTGATTTCAATTTCCGGGTAAGAATATTTTCGAGATCTTAGCTTGGCACGGTAATTGTGCATCTTGTTTTTTATGCGCTGCTGCCAGCCATATAATCCCGCAAATGAACCTGGCTCCCTAAGACACGGAAACTTAGAAACCAAGGCTTCAGCTACTGAGAGGATCTGCTCATTGGTTGGGTAAGCAGTGTATGAAAAAATTACTTTTGCAAGCTCTTGCATTATTGCTGATTTAATACTAGCATCCATGAAGTGTCTTCCAGTGGCATGATACGAGTTGTTTGCCTCTGCAAGGATTAGTTCTATGTCTCTGGAAAACTCTGGTACTTGGAATGGCACTGGCCATGCAGCAGAGCGACATGAATCAGGAAGAATAATGGTATCACTGGAACTTGAAGATTCGCAGTTTGACACCTCTGAGGTTGCATCATGATCTGCAGGGCAGATGTCCGTTTCAGCAGTACTAGCAGGATGGGTGCTCACTGTACTCAATGTAGATGATTCAAATACTGGGTGTAGGTCAAGGGTGATTGTCGGCTCTTTTAGGATCACTTTAACAGTGGCCTTGTCATGCAAGTCAGCAGTTGAGGTGACACTGAAAAACTGATTGTCAAAGTTAATGTCTTGGTATAGCAGTCCAATTTCCCCATGCAATTGGAAAGTTGCAGTAATTATGGAAACAAGATCTTCCAATGTATTTGGAATTCCTGTTGGAAGTTTCAATTTTTGAATGTTGTGTTCTTCTAAAATTACTCTTAACTGGACCGCCATTGTTGATTGTAGTGTGTTTCTTTAGCTGTAGAGACAGAAAGAAAAGAAATTGAGACAGGTTATTAATAGTTGATGAGCTTACTTGCATATGTTTGCTTCAATGTTGTTCTGCCAAAGCAATAAACGGATATTTAATGAAGTAGAAATTTTAAGAAATAATCTGATTGTCATTTTTTTAAGAAGAGGTAGATGAGGAAAGAAGGAGGATAATAAGTATTACAATTTTTTCCCATAACTGAGGACTTTGGTTTTGGTTAACTACACCTTTGAGGACAATGCGATTTATTTTATTTGGAAAACTTGCATACCTGTAAAGGATACACTTGCGGTGTGGTCGTGTTTGGATGTGTCAGGCCTAGAATGGGTAACAGCGGTCTATCAGTGAGTCTCTGCTTGTGGAGGACAGACAAGAGAAACTGAAGAAAGGGTCAAATAGTGAGTGTCCACATACACAGACTCTGCCTGCAACAGAAATTAAAACAGAAATTACACAAAAGAAATGATCAGACATGTACCTGGGTTAGATTTTGTACAGTTGATTTTGTGTTTATCACAATATAATGTAAATAATTACCTCTGGTGGTTATTCAGGTGTTTGTTTAATATGCAAAATGAATTATGACCCCAGGCATTAAAAAAAACTAATTGCAGAATGGTGATTAATTGGGGAAATAAATACAGTAGTTTATCTGTGCTCCTCTGATCAAGGCAGTCTGTCTGACAAAGGTCAGTTATGCAGAAATGATGTGTTATGTGTACTTAACTCACTAAAATAAAGGCATTGCAATTACATATATTAATATCTATGCTTAGCTTCATAGATGTAATATGCCTCATATACCATATTACAAGATTATAAAAAAATTATTAAACACTGATGTTTAAAAAAATACCAAATATAAGATAAAAAAATTATTCTAAAATGTTTTAACTGATCCCACAATTTTTTAAAAATGGGATACAGAGGTACTGTTTTTATGTTTTAAACAAGACAAAAGGGAAGTAACGTTAGTGCAAAGCAGTAGCGCTCTCTCTTGTTCTCCCTCTCTCTCTCTCTCTCTCTCTCTCTCTCTCTCACACACACACACACACACGCACAGCACGGCGGATGCGCTCTTTCACTCTCTCTCTCTCTCTCAAACACACACACACACACACACACACACACAGAAAGCACAGCGAAGGCGCTCTCTTTCTTTCTCACACACACAGCACGGCGGATGCGCTCTTTCTCTCTCTCTCTCTCTTTTTCTCTCTCATTCAAATGTAATCTCTCTCTCTCTCTCTCTCTCTCTGAGCGGATGTTGCGAGTGAGTGGGCGGAGGCGGTGTGAGAGTGTGTTTGCAGCGCGAGTGAGTTTCTATCTTTCCTTTCTTTCTTAAAAGTCAATATTTGCAGTGTATTGAAAGTTATTTCAAAGGTTGAACTGGTGTGTTGAAGACAAAGTTTGTCTCTGTGACGCCGCGAACGCTGTTCGTCAGCGTTTGCTGACAGGTGTGTGTGTGTGTGCTATGGCGGCTGCGATGGAGACGCCGGCATCGGCGTTTTCAGGCGATGCGCCGTTTGAGCGTCTTTCACGGAGGCACGGAATCAAAATTGTGCCAGAGATGGCTTGTTCGGTTGAAGAGTGTAGTTTGGCGGTTGGAGAGACCGTTGGGTATGAGAGTATATTGTCAGCGTCAAGAATGAACAGTGCTGTTGTTATTTTTCTAGACACTATAGAGAAAGTGAATAAAGTGGTTCAAAGTGGAGTAGTAATAAAAGATACATTCACCCCAGTAATGCCTCTTTCTCAACCAGTAAGGAAGATCACATTATCAAATGTTCCCCCCTTTGTGAAAGATGATTTATTATTGGCAGAACTGTCGAGGCATGGAAAAATTGTCTCTAAAATGAAAAAAATCCCCTTGGGTTGTAAGTCACCCCTTCTGAAACATGTTGTATGTTTTAGACGTCAGGTTCACATGATTCTGAAAAGTGAAACAGAAGAGCTTAGTGTGGCCTTTAAATTTAAGGTTGACGGATATGATTATGTTGTTTTTGCCTCATCTGAGACAATGAGGTGCTTTGGATGCGGACAAGAGGGTCATTTGAGGCGTTTTTGTAAGGAAAAGAATGAGAATATTGCACCTGCTCAGGATGGTGGTGGAGCAGTTGAGGAAGAACAGGTAGAAGATGAAGTGAGAAATGATGGGAATTTGACAGAGGTGATGGTTGAAGAGGTGATTGATACAGACATGGGAGAGAAAGGTGGGGATGGAGAAGGCGTAAATGCTGAATTCAGTAATGTGATTGAGATGGCTGAGAGTGTTTTAGAAGGAGAAGGAGAAGGAATGTGTAATGAACTAGGGAAGGAAGAAGAGGTTTTTAAAACCCCTTCAACTAAAAGGAAAAGAGTAAAGCCCAACATAGAAAGACCTGGGAGCAGCAGCAACAAATTTGATGATGGTGAACAAAGTACATTGGAAGACTCTGATAGTGAGGTAACTGGCAACAGAAATAGTGGCAGACTGAGGAGTGATTACTCCTTTGGAAAAATTAGATCGTTTCTTCAAAAGACGAAGAACATGAAAAATGTTCAAGTTGTTGATTTTTTCTCTGATCGTGAAATGTTTATTGAGTCAGTTGGAACAATGATGAGGGGTGAAGGATCTGAACAATTTACAGTGCAAGAGATTTTTAGGCTGAAAAAATTTGTTGCCAAATTGAGACGAGAATTACAAACAGAAAATGGTTTTGAAACAACATAATTATTCTGGTTTCAGTCCTTTAAGGATTGTTTTTGTTTTTTGTTATACTCTTTTCTTAATGGGGGTGATAAGGCTAGGATCACTTAATCTAAATGGTGCAAGAGATATTAAAAAAAGAATGCAGTTGTATGAGTTAATTAAACATAAAAATATAGACGTAATGTATGTACAGGAAACTCATAGTGATTGCAGCAATACCATTGATTGGGAAAAGGAATGGGAAGGAAAAGTAGTATTAACACATACGAGTTCTAGTAGAGGTGGTGGTGCTATTTTGTTTGCTAAACATTTTTTGCCTGTATCTTATCAAATAGAAGAAGTAATAGCTGGAAGACTTGTTATAATAAAGACGGAATTTGAAAAATATAGGATAAATTTTATAAATGTGTATGCTCCTACAAATGGTACAGAAAGAGTTATTTTTTTAAATAGCATAAATACATTATTACAGAACTGTAGAACTGATGATTATGTGTTTTTGGGAGGAGATTTTAATTGTACCGAAAATGAAAGATTAGACAGGAATCATGTAGAGCCTCATGCAAATTCAAGTCGAGTACTTCGTGAACTAATAGAGACACACAGTTTATGTGATATATGGAGAGAATTTAATGGAAATGTGAAACAATATACATGGTTACATACAAGAGAGAATTTTATTTCAATGGCTAGACTTGATAGATTTTATTGTTTTAAACATCATGTAAATGTTGTGAGAAAATGTGAAATTGTACCAGTTGGCTTTACTGATCACTCATTGGTTTTATGCCAGGTTTTTATTGCAAATGTTAAAGTTAAAAGCGCTTTTTGGCACCTTAATACATCGTTGTTAAGTGATCTGAATTTTAAAGAAGTATTTTGTTTCTTTTGGGATCAATTTAAATTAAGAAAGCAATGTTTTAGTGATTTAAGACAATGGTGGGATTGTGGAAAAGCCGAAATAAAATTGTTTTGTCAACAGTATGCTTTCAATGTTTCCCGAGATATTACTCAAGCTATGAGAAAACTGGAGTCTGAAATTATAGATTTACAAGGATTGGCTGAACTTAAAATAGAATCAAGACAAGCTGAGAAATTAAAGTCCAAAAAATCTCTTTTAGCGAATATGCTTGGTATAAAGGCACAAGGAGCATTGGTGCGGTCAAGGTACCAAAATTTAACACAAATGGATGCTCCTTCTAAATTTTTTTTCAGTCTAGAGAAAAAAAATGGCCAATGCAGGTACATTCACTCCTTATGCGCTGAAAATGGTCAGGTATTGACGGACGCAAGTGATATAAGACGGAGAGCCGTAAGGTTCTATAGTGAACTGTTTAAGAGTGAATGTGAAGAAAATGAATTGTTATCTGCCAGTTTTTATGAAGGACTGTCTAAGATTGCTGAAGACTCAAAAGTGCAACTGGACAGACCCTTATCTAGTCAGGAGCTTCTGAATGCCCTCAAAGATATGGAGGGTGGGAAGTCTCCTGGTATTGATGGACTCCCGGTGGAGTTTTATGAGGAATTTTGGTCTGTAATTGGTGAGGACTTGCTAACTGTTCTCAATGAGAGTTTGGCAGAGGGCTCTTTACCTTATAGTTGCAGAAGAGCAGTTATCACACTGCTTCCTAAGAAAGGCAATCTACAGGAAATCAAGAACTGGCGTCCTGTAAGTTTGTTATGTACTGACCTGAAGATTTTTTCCAAAGCCTTGGCCAACAG